GTGAGCGCCGACGAAAGAAACCCCCTTTTGAGGCCCCTAAAAAAAAAAAAAGAAACCAATGCTTGCGAGCATTGTTGATAAGGTCACGTGATCAACCAAGCCCATCGCGTGCTGCAAAAGATATCGTCACCTGCAGGATTCGAACCTGCGCGTGCAGAGCACAACCGCTTAGCAGGCGATCGCCTTAACCACTCGGCCAAAGTGACAATCAGTTGAAATTTCTGGGACAGAGAGAATTGAAAAGTCATATGGAAACTTATCACGTGCTGGAGCATTTTGCAGTGAAGTGGAGTAGTATTAGCACTTTTTTGTAGTTTCGGTGACAATTCAGTTGTGCGCCTTCAAAGGCGCCACTGATGCATCTGTAGACCTTGTTACTTGTGGTTCCATTGGTTGGAGAGGGGGGCATCGTCTTCAGACTACTTGCCCTAACGCCTCTGTATTCCCACTCTCTTCCCCTCCAGTCACAACATTTTGTGGAGGGCATTGGTGTACTCCGAGCTGTTTGCGCATCAAAGAGCCGAGTTCACATTCATTGAAAAAAAAGGACCAGTAACGAAGCGGGGCAACATTTCGACCATTCGTCTGGGGAATTTGCAACAATCGGATAGCACGTTCAGAGAAGGAAGCGCTGGAGTTTTGGGCACGTAGAAAACAAAAAAACCGATCCAGCTCTACTTTTTGGCTTGTAGTGAGTTGTGTGGCTTTTTTGTTGCAGCATCCTTAGTCTCGCTCGACAACCGTCTCCTCTCTCACACCTGGGGCCCACCACCACCATATGCAAAGACTCCAACGCAAGAAGCAGAAAGGAGTTTAAGCCAAATCTCAAGTCTCTTGCCAGCGCTTTCTCTGTGAGGAGGAGAGGCCCACTGGGGAAGTGTTTCTTGTTCTCCTCCCCCTCCTACCCTTATCCTTCGCAACTAAGCACATACATCAACCAATCGCCAAATATCCAAACTACCAAGTGATTCAGGACAAGATATAAGATAGAAAAAAAAAAAGGCATGTCAGAAGCCGAACAGCTGGACACGCGGCTGTCCAAGCTGCTCGCGGAACATCAACACTACCGCAAGCTGCTTTACAACTATGTCGGTCGGGCGTTATCACACTCTGTCTGGTACATTGATGAGGATTCTCCAAGCTTCCTGAGGCAAATGGATCGCGCCGAGAAAATGATTGGCCTGCTATGGTATATTCAGAACCATGCAGACCAGTCACGTTACAAGCTCGAACGATCGGCACAGCTGCTGTTATCGATGGCAGAGAGCTTTTTGGCATTTAGTAGCAATAGTGGAGCAGGAGGAGCAGGAGCAGGAACAGGAACAGGGACAAGTGGAGGCGGCGGTGGCGGCAGTGGTAGTGAAGGTAGTCAGAGGAATGGACGGGCGAACGGAGTGCATCCGTATCATCACTCACATCACCACCCATACCCTCACCACTCTTCACATCACCACGGACATCAGCCATACGACATACACGCCAAGGTAGCGGCACTGACAGATGAAGTTCGTGGAGCCCTGAGATTCTGGCAGGACCAGTCTGAGATTGCACGGCTGATGGAGCCCAAGGTCGCGGAACTAGAGCGCTTTGCACGCGAGCGGAGCATGGATCTCAGTCGGAAGGAGGCCACGATCGAAGAGAAAGCGGGTGCGTTGAGGATCGCGAACGATCAGTCTCGAAAAGTGACTGAAGTGCTAGAGGTGTTTTTAGATCAATGGTTCCTACGTCTCCAGGCGACCAATTCCAGCTCATCTGCTACAGGCGCGGATCATCATCACCATCACCATCGGTCACGCGAGGGCGGTAGTGGGGGAGGTGGCTCAGGAGGGGGTGCACACCATGTTCGTACACCAGGACCAAATTAATAACAAAAAAAATACAATATGGCGCTTTATCATTTTTTTCTTTTGCTATATTTTGTTTTCAACATTGTATATTTCATTTGATGTTTGTGTATGTTACTCTCAGTATACGTGCAAACGCAGACTATTGTTTTTTTTTAAACATCCTTGATGATGGGGCTCTCGGGGCGACCTGCGTATTCAGTCCAGCTGCCATCGTACACGGCAAGATGCTTGAGTCCAAGTTGTTCGAGGGAAAAGTAAAGCACACAAGCCGTGAGTCCGCTACCACACGACAGCACCACATTCCGTTCACGCGACTCGTTCTTCTTGAGAGCTTCAATGTCGACTCCTGCACGCTGATAGGCGGCTGCGAGTTGTTCTGGGCTACGCAGCAGTCCAGTTTCCATATCAAACAACTCAACAAAAGGCACATTCTTGGCTCGAGGCATGTGGCCTGACGACAGACCCACGCGAGGCTCTGGAGCACTGCCTGTGAAGCGTCCGGCAGGACGGGCGTCAATAACAGTGACTGGTGAGTCCTTGTTGTTGACAATGGTCAGGATCTGCTGATAATCGCGGATCATGTCCTTATTCAGAGGATGAGCCTTGTATTCCTTGGGCTTGAGTGGTTGAAGATCAACACAGAAAAAAAAGGGGGGGGTGAAAGCAATAGCATGTGTTAGATCAAGTCATTATAACTACTATGTGGTATGGATCGCGTGTGAGAAAAAAAAAAGTGCGGCGCAAAAACTGACTCACCTCAATCTTGGGATCGCCCTTCTCAATTGGGAGGCCAGCTGCCGTCCAGGCTTTAAATCCTCCATCCAAGACGGACACGTTCTTGTGGCCAAAAGCTTTGAACATCCAGTAGACGCGAGGCGCAGCAAAGAAGCCCACTGTGTCGTAAACGACAATGTGATCATCGTTGGTGATTCCCAGCTCACCAACCTGCGACGCGAATTGTTCCGCGTTTGGCATCATATGCGGCAAGGGGTTGGTGGGGTCCTTGATGGTATCTACGTCGAAATAGCGGGCTTTTTGGAGGGGAAAACAATATGTGATTCTTGGTCAGGGTCCACTCTTAAGCAGCAACAGGAAAGTCATTTGCATCAGTCCAGGGGCTGCGACACGCATGCCATGCCTCCCATTTTATTTTACCTCCAGGCAAATGACCGTTCTCACGGAATTCCTTGAGGGCGTCGCGACCAGAATTTGGCAAATGAGCACTACCGTCGAGGACTACGGTCTTGTCGAGCCTGTCTTTGAGGTACTGGCATGAGACAAGTGGTGGCACTGAGGCTGTCATTATAGGCAAAGAAAAAAAAAAAAGGGTGATGCGTTTCTGGTTAGAGGGCGGTGGGTTTACAAAAAAGAAACAGGCCTAAGGAGAGAATAAAAAGCATAGTTCATCCTATCTGGCCCGTTGTCGACCGTTGGCGGTGATTGTGCCTTATTTTCAGGGACCACCAACGGAGTTACCTACCGTGCGTACTATATCCCATGCGGGAGAAGAGGGGAGCAACCACCTTGTGGCGGACATTGCGGTGCAACTGCAAGAAACGCGTGGCCATTTCGTTTGGAGAAGATGAAGATGAGTGAAAAAAAGAGGAACGAGGAAAGGGAATGTGCTTGGGCCTATGTGTCAGTGAAGGTCGAATGAAACGAAGGAGGGTGACGACCTTTTGGTTAATAGCAATGAAAAAAAAGTCCATGGCCACTGTATTGTTTCCTTTTCATTCACGTTCTTTCAGTTTCGCTTTCACTTGCCGTTGATATTCACCCCCTCCAAATAGACGCGTCGTTTGTTCACTCTACCAGTACCGGTCGGAGAGACGACGCGCGCTTGTTCGCATTTACTGTTTTGTTAAATCATTTTGTGAAGAGCCGCAAGCCCAGAAACCGGTTTTTAACAATTACGAAATACACATTCGCCTCTATTTGGTGTTGTAACCAGTGCGGCATCCTGTCAATCACATACATGCCCACACGTACTTCACCCACGGAAAGCATTTACACTCCTTTTCCCTTGCTCTTTCTCTCTTACACACGTTTTCTCCTCTCTCTTTCTCTCTCTCTCTCTCTCTCTCTCTCTCTCTCTCTCTCTC